TTTCAGGGGCGCGCGGCAACCCCGGGGCCAGCCACAGCGCGGCTTGAAATTCAGCTGCGCCAGACGGGCTGGCAACTGGGTCGGACGTAGACGGGTCGACGCCGCACACATGCCCGTCGCATACCTATACGACCACCCTTCGGGTGAAAGGGAGATTGCGGGGGGGGGGGGGGGGGGGGGGGCAACATCTGACTCAATCAATCTCGCGATCGATCTCGCTCAACGGGACATCGCGGGACACTTGTCGATCTCACTATCGATCTCACTATCGATCTCACTCAACGGGACACCACAGGACACCACGGGCCACCGCGCGACACCACGGGACACCGCTAGGGCCACTGCCGAACGGAGGAGAATCATCTGTCTTGACTTCTCCCTAGCAGCGGCGGACACCACGGGGCACCGCGGAACGCCGCGGGGCGCCGCTAGGGCCACCGCCGGACCGAGGATAGTCATTTGTCTTGACTTCACCCTAGCAACGGCCGACACCACGGGGCACCGCGGGGCGCAGCTAGGGCCGCCGCCAGACGGACGGAGGATAATAATTTGTCTTCACCTCGCCCTAGCAACGGCGGTTTCAGTCCTTGCGCGCGCCCGCGCAGCTTCGCCTCGCCCGGGCGCGCGACGCGAAACGAAACAATACGATTTCCCGGTTGAGGGTCTACGTTTCACTGCGATCTCGCCCCCAAACCTCCACTGTACCTGCCCGCCATCGTAACTGAGGACATGCGCCATGCCCAGGGCGGGGTCCACCCACCTGCTGATGTTGGGACCCTTCGGGGCTCATCCGTGCACAGTTCCAGTCTTGCAACTTTGTCGTATACAGAGGGGAGGGCTCCGTGACTCAGAAAAATTACGGGTGCTGCTCCGCAGATACGGATGAAATAGGCACTGATCGGGCACTCGATGAGGCCCGAGATAAACTAGGGCGAGGGGGGCGCTGACGGGCCAGGGCTGACGGAGGTGCCTGACCAGAGCGCCGCAGTCGGGGGCGGGGCAACGTGGTCGGGCTGCCTCGGACTCATCTGAGGCCGCGAGGGTGGCGGCATGGCCGGCAGAGAGCCAGCTGCGGACAGGCTGTGAGATGGCGACTCAGGCATCTCACTCCTCAGGGCCTGCCAACCTGGCCGCGTCGCCCCAGCGTCGACGCCCCCGCCGCGCTGCTCCCGCCGTCCACGACGAGGAAGCTGCCCTCCCCGGCCCGCCTCGGGCCGTGGCTGCGACTGCACCTCTGGCGGCGGGTAGCCACGCCAGCAGCGCGCTCCTCGCCTGCCTCCGCGGCAACCTCAGCTCGACCGACGGGCGCGGGTGGAACTGCACCGCGACCGCGATGACTGGGCGATGCCCCCTGACGAGCAATGGCGTCTCGCAAGCCCTGCTGTCCGTCTGGCTTGCGCGCTCGGTCGGCCTCCCGCTTTGCCTTCCTCGCTGCCGCGGCGCGGACTCTCAGCTCCTCGGCCGTGGGGCGCGCGCTCGCGGGCGGCCGCTCTGCCCCGGCCTCGCCATCGACTGGGGCGGCGACTGCAGCGGCCGCGGCATGGGCCGCAGCTGCTCGGGCCGCCGCGTCGGGCATGGCGGCCGCTGCCGCCGCGGGCCCAGGTGGCGGGCCGGCGCGAGGCGCCGACGCGGCAGGGCTGTCGGCCGGGGCAGCCGCGGGCCCGGGCGGGTCGGCGCGCGGCGCCGACGCGGCCGCGGCGGCGGCAGTGGCAACGGCAGGCGGGGCCGCGCAACCTGTCGGCGCGAGCCGTTGCGGCCGCCGCGCGAGGGGCGCCGCGCCAGGAGATCCCCGCGCCAGGGCCAGTGGCCGCGCGGACGGTGGTCATGTTCACCTGCAGCGTCGTCCGCAGCTGCGCGAGCGACGTGAGCTGCCTGGTCAGCTGCGCTTGGCCCACCTGCAGCTCCGCGATGGCGGTGGCGGGCGGCGCCCGGTCGGGCGGCGCGCCTGGGGCTTCGCCAGTCGCCGGCGGCGCGGGCGCGGCAGTCTCCATGCGCGCGTCGGCGTCCATCGTCGGCTGCATCGCCTCCAACTGGTACAGCAGCGTCTTGGCCCGACTGAGGACCTGCTCCCGCTGCAGCACCTTGGATTCCTTTTCCTCCAGGATGGCACGGGCATGTTCGGCAGCAGCATGGGCCTTGTCGAGCTTCACCTGAGCCCGCTGGACGAAGGCTCGCTGTCGATCACATCTCACACCAGGGTCCCGAGCGGTAATGATCATGCACAGCTGGACTGCATACTCCTCCTCCTGGGGGCGCATCTGCTCGGCCGTAATGCCGAGCTCCTTGGCTGCCTGCAGCCAGTTGCCTGTAGCAGCGGCCATATGTCTGAGCGAACGCCTGTGGGCCGCGAGCTCTCTCTCTCATCTCTGGGGGGTTCGACCCACGCTGTATGTGACTGTGCGTCAACTTGCAGCGCTGGCAGGATGCCCAACGCTGGGCTGCGAACCTCACCCTCAGCATCTGAAGCCTGGCCGCCGTCGGACTCCTCGTCGTGTGCGAACCGCACGCGGGATCCTGATCGGGGCCTCGGCACACCGGACTGGCGACGGCGTTTGCGGCGGGACCCGGAGTGCGGACAAGTCTTCCTGTGTTGGCTGTCCTGGCGCGGCTGGCTCGACTCGCCGCTGCCGCCTCCGTCGTTGTGGCTGGGCATGCTGTGGGGGAGCGGCATGCACGTCCGGCACAGCAGGTCGGCGGGGCAGTTCAGCATGCTGCAAATCTGAGACCACCATCCTGGAGGCGGCGGTGGCACACGCCTGGGCGCACCTGTGACTCCAGGTGCTCCTGCTGCTCGGCCTTTGCCTCTGTGTCCGCCAGAGGGTCCAGCTCCGCCTTTGACGCCTCCAGCTCTTTTTTCACTCATTGGGCCTGCACTGTGATGCTCGCGCACCGTCGCCGCGGCACCAGCCTCTCCCAGCAGGGTGCGCGACTGCGTGCGCCGCTCGCGAGCTCGCCTGTGCCAGGCCGGCTCGCGCGCGCGCGGCTCGCGCGCCCGCCCGCCCAGGGCGGGCTCGCTCACCGTGGGCGCCCGACTCGGGACGGCGCACGCCGCGGCAGCACTACGGCTGGCCCGCACGCCCATGGCACAGCACGGCGCGGGCTGGCGCGTCTGGCCGCCGAGTCCCGAGGAGGCTCGCAGCGCGTGGTTCTGGGTACTAGGGCGCTGCACACAAAGCCTCGAACTGTGACGGCGGCTGGAGGAGGTGGGGCGGAGGGAGGAGTGGGCACAGGAGGAGGAGAAACAGGGAGGAGGGAGGATGAAGAGGAGGACGAGGAACGATGAATAGGGTTAGAAAGAAGAAGAAAAAGAAGAAGAAGAAGAAGAAGAAGAGGAGGAGGAGGAAGGTGGGAGGAGGAACGAGGAAGAGAAGGAGGAGAAGGAGGAGGAGGAGGAGGAGGAGGAGGAGGAGCAGGTGGAGGAACGAGGATCAGGGAGGAGGAGGATGAGGCCGACCCCTCCCCTCCATCCTCCTCCTCCTCCGCCTCCTCCTTGTCCTCCACCTCATCCTCCTCCTCCGACTCCTCCTCCTCCTACTCCTACTCCTCCTCCTTCCTCCTTGCCCTCCTTCTCCTCCTTCCTCCTTCCTCCTTCCTCCATCCTCCTTTCCTCCCCTCCTCCTCCTTCCTTCGCCCTCCTGCTTCCTCCCCCCTTCCTCCTTTCCTCCTTCGGCCCACAAGCTGGCCGGCTGCCCGCCGAGGGCGGGTGGGCGTCGTTGCGGGGCGACGCCTCGCGCGCCCTCCTCGGCCCTGTCCTCCCCTTCCCTCCTTCTCCCCCCCCCCCCCGCCGTCGTACCAAGGGGAGGAGTGTGCAGCGACCTCTTCCAGAGGATGGAGGGCCGCGACGTCCGCGCGCGGGGCGCGCAGCAGTCTGACCAGACAGCATAGGCGTCCGCCTCCAGGCTATGCCCAGACGCCTTCCTCCCCCCCCCCTCTCCGGCAACTGCAGAAAGCTGATCCACTCACTCATGCTCTAAGCGTATCGCCCAGGCAGCTGGACTCTTCGCAGCGGCTGCAGAGCCACGCAAGAAGTATAGCCTCTGCAGGGAGGACCTACAAGAGGCCGTGGGACCAGTGGGGCCACAGAGGAGGGGGGGAATGGGAGGACGGAGAAGGGGAAGCAGAGAAGTGGCTGGGCTGGGAGAGAGAGAGAGAGAGAGAGAGACAGAGAGAGAGAGAGAGAACAAGAAAAAGAGGGGGAGAGAGAGAGAGAGAGAGAGAGAAAAAAAAAAAAAACAAGAGAGAGAGAGAGAGACGAACACCGTATGGGCCTGCCAGTATTGCGAGAGCTCGTTTTGAAGAGGAACTGAGCTGCATCCTGTTATCGGATGATGAGGGAGGCGAGAGGGTGTGACCATAACATTCAACGAAGTGTTGAACGAGAGCCCTGCTTTGACAAAGGGCCACCTTCGTCCGTGTAGTTAGTTGCTGTCGCGCCTGGCAATTCAGCGGCCAGAAGTATGCAGCGAGAGCTCTGATATGAAAGAGAACCGATGTGCATCCGCGCAGCTGTCACGTATGATCAATATTCTAGGCTTTTAATTCGATGGAGTCAGAAGCGAGATCCCCATTTTGGAAGACAGACGTCATCCGCCCCTGTAGCTGTTGCAAACTTTTGAGTCCACTGTGCGCGGCGCAAAGACGAGAGTCCCATGTTGAATACGAGTAGGCTCCGTCATTGAACCTCTAGGAGACTTTACGGACGAACGTGCGCGGCGCTGAGGCGAGACCCGCATTTTGAAAACGATCGTCCCTCCATGTGTAAAACTGCTGGATGCTTGTCCTTAAAGATTGGGCACCACAAGAGCAAATCTTGAGCGAAACGCCAGGCACAACCTACGAACAGGTCTGGTGTTGAAACAGGGAGGGGCTACGTATCAGCAAGAGGAATGGAGGTGGAGAGTGAGAAAGATAAGGGAGAGGCGGGGAAGGAGAGGAAGGGATGAGGTAAGAGGATGAAATTGAGGGCGTTCTTGCCGGTGTTCCCCGCCCACGGGCCCGTCCTTGTCCTCCGGCCGCAGCCGCGCCTCCTTCTCGGGCGGAGGCGGGATGGGTGGAGGGGCCAGGGCGGACAGCGCATGAAGGGCGGCTTCGAAAAACCCTAGGGGGCCGCGGAGGCCCCGAACCACAGTCAGAATGCTGCCATAAGGAACCTTGGTAAGACGAGGCCAAGACAGGGACACCATCAGACAGGAATGAACTGGGGACCCCTAAGATCTGGCGGTTCTAGAAGATGTATCGGTCGCCGCGGCCTTCTCAGAGTGCCCCGGAACGCTCTGAGGGCGTCCTGGAACGCTCTGGAACGGTTCAATCCTGTCCTAGTCCCACCTGACTTGAATAAAAGCGACTGAGCCTTCCGCAACATGGTGGCTCCCCAACGTAGGGGATGTCCGCTGGGCCTTCCGCAACATGGTGGCTCCCCAACGTAGAAGGCTTTTCGCCGGGCTTTCCGCAACATGGTAGCGTCCCAACGTAGGGGGATGTCCGCCGGGCCTTCCGCGACATGGTGACTCCCTAGCGTAGGGGGGCTGTCCGCCGGGCCTTCCGCAATATGGTAGCGTCCCCACGTAGGGGGGCTGTCCGCCGGGCCTTCCGCAACATGGTGGCTCCTTAGGGTCTGAGGGTCTTTGGGTGTTAGGGCCTTCGGGTCTGAAGCTCTTCGGGTCATCGGGTCATCGGGTCTTCGGGTCTTAGGGAGTTAGGGTCGTAGGGTCTTCGGGACTTCGGGTCATCGTGTCTTCGTGTCTTCGGGTTTTCAGTTCTTATGGTTTTCGGGTCTTAGGGACTTCGGGTCTTAAAGTCTGCGGGTCTTCGGGTCGTAGGGTCTTAAGGTCTGCGGGTTCTTGGGTCTTCGGGTCGTAGGGTCTTCGGGTCTTCGGGCATTCGGGTCTTAGGGTCTCAGGGCCTTAGGGTCCGAGGGTCTTAGGGTCTGCGTAGGGTCTTGTATGGTTTTCGGGTCTTAAGGTCTTCGGGTACCCGGGCCTCAGAGTCTTCGGGTCTTCGAATATTCGGGTCTTCGGGACTTCGGGTCATCGGGTATTCGGGCCTTTGGGACTTCGGGTCATCGGGTCTTCGGGTCTTCGGGTCTTCGGGCCTTCGGTTCTTCGGGTCGCAGGGCTTTCGGGACTTAGTGTCATCGGGCATTCAATTCTTAAAATCCCAAATTCGTCGGGTCTTAAAGCTTGAGGGTCTCAAGGTCTGAGGGCCTCAGGGTCTTAGGGTCTTGGGGTCTTAGGGTATTCGGGTCTCAGGGTCTTCGAGTCTTAGAAGTCTTAGGGCCTTCGGTTCTTTGGGTCTTCGGGTGTTCGGGTCTTCGGTTCTTAGGGCCTGCTTATGGTCTTGAGGCCTAATGGTCTTAGGGTCGTCGGGTTTTCAGTTCTTAGAGTCTGCGGGTCTTCGGGTCATAGGGTTCTAGGGTGTTAGGCTCTAATGTATTTGGGTCTTCGGGTCTTAGGGTCTTAGGGTCTTAGGGTCTTAGGGTCTTAGGGCATTCGGGTCTTCGGGTCTTTGGGACTCAGGGTCTTCGGGCTTTAGAGTCTTAGGGTGTTATGGTTTCGGAGTCTTCGTGCCTTCGGGCCTTCGGGTCTTAGGGTCTTCGGGTCTTCGAGTCTTCAGGTCGTTGGGACTTCGGGTCTTAGGGTCTGCGGTTCTTCGTGTCTTCGGGTCTCAATGTCTTCGGGTCTTAGGGCATTAGGGTCTTTGGCTCTTCGGGTGGAAAGTTTATTGTTAAGGGCTTAGGGTTTTGGCTTTTGGGTTTGGGGTGTTGGGTTTGGCTTTAGGGCTTTGGGTCAAAATTCGCCACCCGGGCCTTCCGCAACACGCAGCCGCTCCTTCCCAAAACATCCAGGCCTTCCGCAACACGGAGCCGGGCCTTAAATAACGGCCGGACTTTCCGCAACGCGCAGCCAGGCCTTCCCAAAACGTCAGGGCCCTCCGCAACACGGGGACGGGCCTTCCCAAACCGTCTGGGCCTTTCGCAACACGCAGCGGGCCTTCCCAAGCAGTCCGGGCCTTCCCAACACGGGGACGAGCCTCCCCAAACTGTCCAGGCCTTCCGCAACACGCAACCGGGCCTTTCCAAGCCGTCCGGGCCTTCCGCGACATGGGGGCCGGGCCTTTAAAACCCATCCAGGCCTTCCGCAACACGGACCTCTCGCTGTTTCTGTTAAGCCTGGATGGTTGTTTTAAACACCCGAACCAAGTATGGGCCTCAGCTGTGTCTGGATGACTGAAAAATGCCAGGGCAAGACGGAAGACCCGCTGAAGAACCAGAGGAACTTCGAGCCCCTCTCGATTCCAAAGTGGGGCCCCGTCGCAAAGTCTGGGCCGTTAAGACCCTGAAGCTTTACACTGCGGAGGGGGACTGCCACATTGAGATTCAAGTGATTCTGCCCACCCTAGTGCGGGCAACCTCCCCAGCGGCGGCTTCGTTGCGTCACGTTTCTCGTCCGCCCATTTCTCCACGAAGGACAACCCCCTTCTGAGCTCAAGGTGGTTCTTACTTCAGCGTCTTGACTGTAGGGCCAACCACCATCGAAATAACAATTTAGTGCGGCGGGGCCTTCGTCCTCGAACTGGACCACCATGTCACGCCGAGGGTGCCGCTTCTCCCGCTAAATGTCCTTTCCTCCTTCCTTTAGTCCATGACCTCCTGGGCTCCCTTCCTTTAATCCTGAGCTCGTCTTCTCCTCCCCTTCCTCCCTCCTTCGCTTTTCAATCCTGCGCCCATTCCTCCTGAGCTCCTCCCCCGTCCTCCTTCCTGTAATCCTGAATTCCTTGCTTTTCCTCCCCTCCCTCCCTTCTTGAACCTGTCGGATGGTGCGGGATTCGCCGGCTTCCAGAGTCGCACCCGCGTACGTTAGGCCAAGCCTTGACGACGTGGGCGGCCCTTGCTCCCGACACCGCGTGGATGTTGCAACCCCGAGCGGCCACCGCTCTCGGAGCTGCGCAGCGGCTGGCCACACCCTCTTCTGCATGCACCTCGTGCCGCTGGATGTTCTCTGTGGGCCCCGGGGCCCCGAATGGCTCCCCGGGAGGACGCTCAGCCTTGATCTTCCACGCCGGCGCAGTCGGCGCGTCCAGGCGGCGCGAGCGGAGGCAAGATTTGATAAATCCCGTTACTGTCCACGATGAAGGGGACATGGAGCCTGATCAGGCCGGATTAAGCGGTACAGAGCCAGACGAAGCGGATTAAGCGAGACTAAGCCAGATTGAGCCAATTGCCGACCAGGGATATACCAGCGCCGATTCTGAATTTAGCCTCCCAGGAACTGCATCCTACAGAAGAGGGGCCATGACATCCGCAGCATCTCGCCCCCCCACCCACCACCCCTCTTAGGTCCTTACCCGCGAAAGCACAGCGTTCTGAAGGACGATCCTCGGTCCTTCTACCTCCAGCCGTCCGATTACCTCGATCCTGCTACCTGTATGTTTTCCCACCAAAGTCCAACAAGTGCATGACCTGTCCTGCTACCTCGATCCTTCCTCCACGCTCGATCATCGGCCTCTGGACCGACCTGTCCAGGGGCACAGGGGCGCGCCCTGGCCACACTCCCATAATCTCCAAGCTGATCCAGCCGTTGCGACGAGTACGCCCCAGGCTGCAGAAACAAAAGCACAAGACACACAGACATAATTTCGATCACCGAAAATCATTCCACCTCGATCATCTTTCCTCTTCTTGGGCCGGATGAAACTTGGGATAGCAGCAAGGGTGCCACCGAATCAGCTGTGCAGCTGGTTTCTTCGGCGCCTACCGGTTTCTTCGGCGCCCAAGATGGCCCCAGGAGGGACTCAGAGACCTCAAGATGGCCTCCAAGATGGCTCAAGATACCTCAAGATGGCTCAAGACAGCCGCCGACGCACATTCACGTGGCCGCCGTCTGTGGGGGGACATTGCCGGCGGGCCACCCAGAGGGGCCTGGCGCGCGCCCGCTTGATGAACAGTTGCGGAGCGGACTGGCAGAATCTGGCACCCGCCCCCCCCCTGCCAACTGCACTCACGGTCACAAGAACGTCTTCCACGCGTCAGCCAGAATTCTCCCCGACGCCTGCACGGGGCCACGCGCGTGCGATCGTCGCCTTGATGCGCACGTCGGCGGGCGCGTCGACGACGCGGCGGCGCTCGTGCTCGACCCCGCGTGGCCCCGTGACCCGACCCGCGTCCATCTCTGGACTCTCGGGCTCGCCGTGGCCGCGGACGGCGCCGCAGAGCGCGGGGGCGCCGCCCCGTCGCGGAGCGCGAGGCGGACTCCAGCGGTTTCCGATCTCCGAGCCCGAAGCCCCTCCACGTCGCTGCCGTACTCTCTGGCCAACTCTTCGCTCGCGACTGCAACGCTCTCCGCGCCGCGCCTGTCGTCGTCCATCTCCCAGTCCGGCGGGCCCTCGCCCTCCACGTTCTTCTCCGGCCCGCCCACTTCCGGCGGCGGCTAGCGCCATGAGGCGGCCGTCACTGCCGCCCCGCCTGCAACCAGAGCGCCGCTCTAAACCGGCGCCCCCGCGCCCCCAGCGCCGCGACAGGAAAGCCCGCCGCCGCAGCGGGGCTGGCAGAGCCCGGCCCCGCCAACGCGAGCGCCTCGGTCTTCTCCGGCCGCCCGCCTCATCGACCCGCGTCGGCGGCGGCAACGGCGGCGCCGCGGGGGCGGCGCTGGCGCCGCCGAGGGCGACCAGTGAAACGGGCATGGGCGCGGCGGTCGTCGCTGGGCTGAGCCCGCGCGCAGCGGCTGCGAAGGGCCCCCCGTCGCTTAGCCGTATGGGCCTGGCCCGCACTTCGTGGTCGCCTGGAGCGGGCCACCCTCGCCAGCGGGCGCGCTTGCGCCTCCGCTCTTCTTGTTCTTGGCGGGGCTGCCCTCGGTGACCGGGCAGGGCGCGTCCGGAAGTGCGTCGAGCAGGGCGCCCTCGTCTGGCAGCGACGCGCCCGCCCTGGCTGGCGCGCGACTGCAGTAGCCCCGGGCGCGCGCCGGCACAAGCCCCCCCCCCTGGCGATTCGCAGGAAGACGCGCCGTGCGTCGCAACGCACGTGCGGGGGGGGGATTTTTGAAGCGCGCCGTGGCGGTGAAAGGGCGACGTGTCTTCCGCGCCCCTGTTGCGCGCGAGCTCGAAATCGAGCGCCGCGCTGGCAGAGCCTGACGCGCGGGGGGTACACGTCGACGTTCTGCTCTACGAACTGTTGCCCGCGTTGCCCCGCGAATCCCTGGTCTAGTTTCACTCCGCCTGTGGCATCAGAACATCAAGATGACCTCCGCCTCCTCCTCGCCCCCTTGCCCCCCCACAGCCCTTTCCTCCCCGCGCCCGACCTCCCCCCCTCCCGCATCGGCGCCCCGCTACCGCCCGCCCCCCCCCCCGCCTCCATTCGGAGGCAGGAGGACTTCGAAACCCCGCGAGTTGGATGAAACAGGTCGGAGAAAGAACTCCAGGAGTCACGGAACTGGACATCCAGAACCCCGGGGCAAGAGCCGACCCAGCAGGCTTGGAAGATAAAATGTGGGACGCCAGGTGGAAGTCGACTCGTCGCGGCCGCCAGCCGGGGTGCAGTCGGCGCGCGTCCGCGCCTGCACCGCGCCCGGCGCATTCTGCAGGGCGTCGTGGAACTCTTGCGCGGTCACCCCGCGGTCCGGCGAAAGCTCCACGACACTCACCCTCGAGATCACAGAAAACTCGACCCTTCCCTCCGTAACCCCTTGCAGTGGTGGCAGAGCCCAGCACCGAGGGGCTGGGCGGAAGTGCCTGCTGGAACGGGCGCGCGCAACCGATGTTCGCCATCGGCGACAAGGCGCACCGGGTGGAGTCGGCCGCAGAATCCAGCGGCGTGCTTGAGCCAGACTGCTGTGACGATGGTGATGGTGATGATGCTGGTACTGCTGTTCTGCACCGGCGGTGCTGGGATAATGACGATGATGGTGGTGGTGATGATGATTGTGGTAATGCTAGTGGTAATGGTGGTGACAGTGAGAGCCCACGACCCGTTGAGTAAACCTCAAACAACCACGCGGGAACCTGCGAGACAACCGCGGGAGAACCACAGGACCATTGACATGCCAGTGGGGCACCACTGGGACACCATGCGGGGCACCGTCGAAACACCATCGGGAGGAGCACCTGACAACAGTGCCAGGCAAATCAATGACACCATCGAGACACCATCTGGGCACCATGTGGAGACCATGCCAGTACCATGTTCACGCGATCATGACAACATCGGGGCACCACTGGGACACCACCGGGGCACCATTGGGATACCATCGACACATCATCGGGGCATCATGCGGAAACCATCGGGACACCATCGGAACACCATGTGGGCACCCATCAGGACACCCATCAGGACACCATCGGGGCACAATGTGGACACCATGTGGCCACCATGTGGGCACCATCGGGGCACCATGACACCATCGGGACACTATCGAGGCACCATCGGCAGAAACACCTGAAGACTGTGGGGGCACATACATGGTACCATGTGGACACCATGCGGACACCATAGGGACACAATGCGGACACTATCGGGGCACCATGTGGACACCATGTGGACACCATCGGGACACCCCCAAGCCATCGCCAGCCAACCGGCGGGGCACCCCCGAACTGGGAAGAAACAACAATTCGGCCGCCCTTGGCAATAGTGAGTTCATTCCGCTCGCCCACCCACGTAGCCTCGCCTCACCCGCCCGCCAGCACGACACGATACGAAACCCTAACCGGTTTCCTGGCGCGGGGTCTTCGTTTCACTTCGATCTCAGCCCCCAACCTTGAATCCGTGTATCAAGTTGTTTGCGGTCTTCTACCGCAAGGGTGTCATTTCAATGTGTGGGAGGTCTGGGCTGCCCTCTTGCATGGGCCCGACCTTCCCCGCGAATGACACCACCTCTGGCAGCATGCCCAGCAGCGCCTCGGCGCGCCCGCGGGCGTCGCCCTCGCGCCCGAGCAGGTCTGCCTGATGTGCCTGCAGGGCCGGGCGGGAGATCGATGACGAGGGGTGAGGGGGGCAACGTAGGCGAGGAGGAGGCGGAGAAGGACTCAGACCCCTTCGCGTCACGAGAACTACCCCAGTAAAGCACCCGAATAGCAGCAAAGGTGGAGAGGCGGATCGAGAAGTAGGTCGGCGAATGAAACGTACATTCCTAGGTATTCCAGAGGACTCCAAGGACACGCACGAAACAAGCTAGGCCATGTGGACCTGAGTGATGTCTTCTGTTTTTTTTTTGGGGGGGGAAAAAAACATGGCCGCCCAGACCAAATCTGTAGCTGGCATTGAAGCGAGAGCGGGGCTCCTGAATCAATGTTGCGGAAGTCTCAAACGAAACGGCTGCCAGACCGCAAGCAGACTGGTCTCGGGCTCCACGTCCTCCCTGTGGGACTCTCATGTTGTCCCTGTTTCTCACCATGAATAAAACACGACGGACATGCTTTTGTTTTTGTTCGGTCTCTGGGTTCCCTCGCCGGGCCCGGGGACCGTCACGAAACGGATCTGGATGAAACGCTGACCTCCAGGGATCCACGTTGCGAGAAATCATGTCGGGGATCTGGGGAAGGAGGGAGGGAGGAATATCGAGGAGAGGGGGAGGGAGGGAGGAAGGGCGAGGAGGGAGGGAGGGACTCCTCCTCCTCCTCCTCCTCCTGCTCCTCCTCCTGCTCCTCCTCCTCCTCCTCCTCCGCCTCCTCCTCCTCCCCCTCCCCCTCCCCCTCATCCCCCTCCTCCTGCCCCTGCTCCTGCCCTCCTCCCCCCCTCCTCCTCCGTGGAGGGGCGACAGGGGCCAGAAGGGAAGGGCGGAAAAGGGAAGGCAAGACGGTCCAGGAGGACGCAGCAGGGGAACGCAGCAGAAGAGAAGAGATGGGCACCGCTGCCCTTCATGATGGATATCCCGAGCGCGCTTTGGAACAGCACCAGCACTACATACCAGCACAGCCACTAGCAGCTGCACCCAACACGGCCTAGAAATGACAACCATAAGTAATACCAGTTTGGAGGAGGGACGGAGGGAAAGGAGGAAGAGGAGGAGGAGGAGGAGGAGGAGAAGGAGCGCACGCAACTCTGGAGGAGGAGGAGGAGGAAACCTTCGTGCCACCCGTATGCATTTGCAGCTCACACATGAGCGAAGATACGTTCAACATGCTGCGGCTTCTCCATTGCTGCAAGTACTGATGCTGATCGCAGTGGTCCTTCACGCGCGAAAGAGCCTAGCAATACGTTGTCGTGCTGCAATGCTGTTGCTACTCTACTACTGCTACACCTCGTCGTGGTCGTATTGCTCCTCTCCTCCTCCTCATCCTCCTCCTCCTCCTCCTCCCTCCTTCTCATCGACGCGAACCCTCGCTGGCAGTCGTCTTCGCCCTGTCGTCTTCGCTGGGGTCGTCTTCGTCGGAGCCGTCTTCTCCCGCGGCTGTCTTCGCCGGCGGAATTTTTTGACTGCGGTCGTCTTCCCCGGCTCCGACGGGCGGGCCGGGCGGGTGGACCTAACGGACTGGTCGGGCGGGCGGACCCTAAAGAGCGGGTCGGGCAGACGGACCCGAACGGGCGGGAAGCGGAAGCGCGTGCGCGGGCCTGCATGCCAAGCATGGGCCAGTCTTGACGGGCGGGTCGGGCGGGCAGGGCCTCACAGGCGGGACGGGGGAGAGGTCCTCACCTAACAGGCAGGTCGGGCGGGCGTGGGCTTGCAAACACGAGAACGGGCGGGTCAGAACAAGCGGGCCGGGCGGGCAAACCCTGCCAGGCGGATCGGGCGAGCGGACCCTCGCAGATCGGGTGGACGGCCGGCGAAAACGATCGGATGAAAACGACCCTGGCGACCATGATGAGGCGAAGACGACTGGGCGAAGATTTCGGGGCCAGCACGGCCGCTGGCGAAGACACCCGCGCGCGAAGGCGACATGCCCCTTTCGTGTCGAACTCCTCCTACCTCCTCGTAGCTTGTAGGAATTGTCCTGACCCTGATGTTTTTTCCCCAACCATCCTGTGGTGTCAGGTCCTCATTTTCAAAAGATGGCGCCCCGCGTTCACCCGCGTCTCTCATCCTCCTCCTTTTCCTCCTCCTCTCCTCCTCCTCCTCCTTCTCCTCGTCCCGTTCCTCCCTCCTCACACCCTTGCCTCTGGCCTCTGCATGCCCTCATCGGCATCATCATCATCATCATCATCATCATCATCATCATCATCATCATCATCATCATCATCATCATCCTCATCCTCATCCTCATCCTCATCCTCATCCTCATCCTCATCATCATCATCATCATCATCCTCATCCTCATCCTCATCCTCATCCTCATCATCATCAACATCATCATCAACATCGTCATCGTCGTCATCATCCTCGTTAGCATCACCTTTAGCATTATCATGATCCTCCTCCGCATCTTAGCTACCACCATCACCATCACCAGCATCATCGTCATCAGCATCATCATCATCGTCATCATCATCAGCATCATCATCATGCGCATCATCATCATCATCATCAGCATCATCATCATCATCATCCTCGTCATCATCAGCATCAGCATCATCAGCATCAGCATCACAAACATCATCACCATCACCATCACCACCATTATAATCGTCATCACCACCATCAACAACAGCAGCATCAGTATCACCATTATCAGCGGAATAATCATCATAATCAGCATCAACATCATCATCGCCAACAACAGCAATAACAACAACTGCATCATCACCACTGCCACCGTCACCATCACCATCATAATGGTCAGCATCATCATCATCATCATCATCAGTATCATCATACTCATCATCACCATCCTACTCATCAGCATCATGATCATCATCATCACCATACCATCATCATATCCATCAGCATCGGCATCATCACCACCACCATCACAAGCATCGCCATAAGCATCGCCCTCATCAGCAGCATCACCATCATCATCATCACCATCATCATCATAAGCATCACCATCAGCAGCGGCAGCATCAGCATGATCGTCACCATCATCATTGTTTCGCGCCACCCATAGGGCTACACCGAAGGCCCCAGATGCAGAGTTCGCATGGCGGCCATGAACCCAATTCGGCACACCCCTCACACGCTTCGTGGAGCTTCACCGAAGGCCCCACCAGCAAAGTTCGCATGGCGGCCCTGCCCCCTATGGACACACCTGTCACACGTTTCGTGGCCACATAGGAAGGCCCAAAATTGCGAAGTTCGCATGGCAGCCCTGCCCCCAGTTTCGGCACACCCCTCACACGTTGCGTGGCCCCATAGAGAGCTCCACCGAACGCCCCGGTGGCAAAGTTCGCATGGCGGTCGCGCCACACGCTTCGTGGCCCCAGCTCCATCGTAGGCCCCGGTGGCAAAGTTCGCGTGGCAGCCCCGCCTCCATTTCGGCACAACCCTCACACATTTCGTAACGCTTCGTTCGTGGCCCTATAGGGAGCTCCACCGAAGGCCCCAATGACAGCGCCCGCATGGCGGCCACGCCCCATTTCAGCAAACCACTTACTACACGTTTCGTGGCCTCATGGGAAGCTCCGCCTAAAGCACAAAAGGCAACGCCCGCGTGGCGGCCCGCCTCACTTCGGCACACCGCTTCACGCACTTCGTGGCCCCATAAGGAGATCCCCAGAAGACGATACGACGATACTCAAAACTGCATGTGGTTGGGTCCTTCGCCAGGATGACTTTTGTTTAGCCGCGAATGGCGGCTCACACTCTTCCAGCCGACTCTTCTATGAAGCTCCTAGTTGCACTAATGTGAGCAACCTCCAACGGATTCCAACGGATGTGCCGCCACAACACCACTTCCGATATCTCTCGACAGCTGCTCGATCGCCTACAGGCGGGTTGTGACCTACGAGCTGAGGTTGCGGTCGGAACAGTGACGATCTCCACGTTGGAGCTTTATGCTTCCATGGCTCCAGGTGGAAGTCCTTGAGGGCAGATGGCTTGGATTCCACGTGCCCATCCGATCCTGCTAGGTAGGGTTTGCTGTTCAGGGCCCCTCGACCTGTGATGTCGCCTCTAGGGCAGTGCTGCTTCTGCCCCCACTTCTGCCCCAGCTCAGTGCGGAATCGGCGAGGCACGTGTATTCACATACTGTGTTTCATGATTGAGACAACGTGTTTGTTGATGCGTTGCTTGGTACTCTCCCCCCAAATGGGGGCCACTTGAACTCAAAAGCGGTGCTCTACACCAGAGCAGGCATGCTTGAGACATGGCTGAGACGGGTTTGCCGTTCAGGGCCTCTCGACCTCTGGTGTCGCCTGCAGGGCAGCGCTGTCTGCCCAAGCTCAGCGCGGGAGCGGTCAGCGGCGCGCCCCAGGAGCCCAGGGGCGCGCCTGAGGCCCCCCCCCCCGTTCTTGGACTTCCTTCTGTGCACCAGCCCGCGCGGGCGGCGGCCGCCATGTCGCCGCTGCCGTCGTCGGCCATGCCGCTGCGGGCGTCCCGTCGGACGTCTGTCGCCGTCGCCGTCGCCGTCGCCGTCGCCGCCTCGGCCACTGCTACCGCCGTCGCCGTTGGTGGCTGCTTGGCTCTTCCCTGGGCGCGCGCGAGGCCTACCTACTTAGAACACTCGAATCCTCCGCCGCCTCGTCCAAATTCCTCATTCACCTCGTGCTGACTTCCTCTGGCTGCTCATCCTGCTTCGGTGCCCCATCCTCCCCCGCTCTTCCCTGGGCGCGCGCGAGGCCTACCTAGCTACTTAGAACACTCGAATCCTCCGCCGCCTCGTCCTCGTCCCTCATTCACCTCGTGCTGACTTCCCCTGGCTGCTCATCTTGCTTCGGTGCCCCATCCTCCCCCGCGTCCCTCCCTCGCCTCCGGGGACCAGGAGATACCGACACCGCTACGTCCCGGGTTTTTTTAAACAAATGTTTCGAGGCGAACCCAGCCGTGGCGACGAGGCCCCCAACAGGCGGAACCGAGGCAAGGGTAGCGGTATTGGTTCCCTTTCCTCCTCTGAATGCCATGATCTTCCTTCTCCCGCGAGGTTTTCCACGGCGGGCCTTCGGCAACAGCACATGGTACTGGGCCACGAAGTCCTCGAAGGGCATCCGCAGGGCGTAGCCGCTCTGTCGGATCTTCACGGCCTCCAGCGCGCCGCTGTAGAGAAGCTGCTCCATGACTAGCTGTGAGTGGAACCTGGACTTTGCTGGGGGCAGGGGGGATGCTCGACGACGAAGTTTCGAGGTTCGAAACATTTTGACGTTTTCGCTGGTTCTCGCCAGCTTGCCAGCCTCGAGATGCCCTCCAGCAACTGCACCTCGCCTTTCGGGGATGCCCCGATCGTTCCGAACGGCTGCCAGAGAGCCGAGTTAACGTTTTTCCTCTTGGACGCCCGACTTATCCGGGATAGCTTCGGTCCAAGGTAGCTCTGGTGTAAGCCGCCGACGCGCGAACCAGGAGTTACCCCTGACCACCCCCGACTCCGATGATTCCGGAGTGGTTGGACGCTCCAAGATAATTCTGGTCCAGAGTAATTCCAGTTTGCGCGCGCGAGGCGAAAATCAATAGCTTCCCCTGACGACCCCCTGCCCCGATGATTCAGGACTCTGATCCTCCATTTCGGTCTCTGGGATCTGCTGTCGGGTCCCAGCAGGACCACCCAACATTGTTCCGGTACGAAAAAACTGTTCCCGGGGAAAGGGGTCAACGATCTCTATGGCCCACGGGTTGAACAACTATCTGAAGTCATCGGGTGTCTAGGAACATGTCCGGTTTCTTCTCTGGGTTTGGCTTGATGCAGCGGATGAAGTGCGGGTCGGCCTCCTTCAGTTTGGACATCAATGCGGCGATGGACTCCTTGAACTCGTTGCTCACAGTCTGCGCCTTTCGCTTCGTGCCCTTGGCGGCCTGCTCGAGGAGGTCAAGCTCGGCGATGACGGTGCCCCCGATCTCCTTCAGAACGGAGTTGGAGGACGTCACTATGCAATTCGGGCCCTCGCGAGGGGGCTTGTTGAGATTCTTCTCGAGGAAGCCCTTGGCCTGATACTCCACAGGCCCCGCAAAGTGCTTCACTGTGAAGGAGCCCTTGAACTTGGGGACGCCGAACCGCTTGTGATTTTGGAGTTCCTTGCAAGCTCGGTCCACCCACTTCTGGTCGCTGTCCGCCGACTTCGCTAGGGTCCCCGAGTCGTCCAGGATGGAGAAGATACCGCCCTTTCCGGCGATCAATTCGATGATGTCCTTGTTGTCGTTGAAGCCAACATCGTCAAATGACAGGTTGACGCCCTCGGCACGATATACCTCAATCTCCATTGTGAAGAAGGAGTGGTTGAAGTGAGCCTGCAAGTGCTCATTGCTTAGATTGATCAACAACTGTTCCAAGGAATTTGTCGCGAAGCTCTCGAAACCGGCGATGTCCAGCAGCCCCAGAAACCGCGTCACCTTTGGTGCATTTCCTTTGCGCATGACGAGCCCCCCTCCCAAAGGAGAAATAGAAATAGGAATGGCGAGTGCAGGGATGGACGAGAGGGAGTTCGACAGGAGCATTGGATGTGGAAGGATGCAGTTCATGAGAAAGTCGAGCGATACAATCTCGCGCACGTGACACCGAGGCTCCAAGATCAAGACGGGCAATCCCGCTTAGTTTTTTGACGCCAGTGTTGTCCTCCTCCCTCCCCTTGAGGATCGCATCCGCTGTCAACGCTGTCCCTTTCGCCCTCTTCCTCCCTGCCTTGCCCAACTCTTGCCAACCTCTGGATGAGGTGGAGGGGAGGAGGAGGCAGGAGAAAAGAAAAAAGAGGGGAAGAAGGGAGGGTGTGGAGGGGAGAGGAAAGGGGGATGGAATGAGGTCTGGAGGAGGGCCAAAGGGTGAGGGAGAAGGGTGAGGGAGCCATGTGGGGCACTGATCATGATTAAACTCAAACGCGGTAGAACAAAAAGTGTACCCATCGCATCTCCAATTCACTAGGAGTCATCCTTCACGCGGCGGATTGCAACTCAACGCAAGCCAATCTAACGCAGAAGAGTGCACAGCAAAGCTACGCAGTGCAATCCAATGTAAGCCCACGCAATGCGATGCCTTACGCTTAAATCAAAACGGCACACACACACACACTGCAAACGAGTGTAGTGAAAACTGTTGCCCTGTAGTGCATGCGAAGAAATGCACCTTCTTTGCAGGCGTAGCAGTGCATGCAAAGCAGAACAAACCAGCGCAACGCAATCCAAACGAATGCGAACATCACATGAACGCTACAAACCCAATGACTCCGAAACAATTGTGCAACACAGTGCACACAATGCTGCGATACAACGCTGCAGACCAATGGCGGCACGTGACGTGTGTATGCGTGTACTTATGTTTGCGTGCGCTGAATGTCTGTATATTTCTACGTTACTTATGTATTTGAGTCGAGATCGTATTTACGTTACTTACGGGGAGCACGATGTGCATATATATATATATACATATATGTATGTATGTATATATATGTATATATATGTGTGTATATGTATGTGTGGATGTTGCCTCATGCCGATCAGTTAAGTATGGTCTTTATGTGGAATACTCTTGGACATCAGGTCCGTCTAGTGCTAGAATGTGCTGTGGACGCATGCTCTTTTGTGTTTCTGCGCATGCAACTCTTCTATGTATGCATGGCGTGGACGTCAATCTGCGTATGTCCTATGTGCTGCGTATGTCCTATGGGCCTTGCCAGTCTTCCCACTGAGGGAAAGAGGACTCCACCATGCGAATCACCAGCCACGAGGGAGAGGAGGGAGAGTGGGCAGCGTGGTTGACAGAATTGGTTGTCGCAAGCGTTGGTGACTCAAACACCTGGCCCATGCCAGACTTGAGCGCTTGAAGGGGGAGGGGGGCGAAGGCCTCTTGAAGGGGGAAGGGGGGTGAATAGGGGGGAGGAGGAAGGCGCCGCAGGCGGGGGGGGACGATTTGTTAACACCTCTGGTGCTGCGTGCGAGCGCGGAACGATACGAATCCACCGCCAAATAGTATCGGTGAAACCGGGCTGGGAACAGGAGGCGAAACAGAACAAGGAGGAGGAAGAGAAGGGAGGGCGAGGACGAGGACGAGGAAAACGGTAGTACCTCAGGGACCAACCTTCAATCGAAGATCGGCCGGGTCGCTCGAAATTGGCCTGCTGTCTGTCGAAGGTGTTGGCCAGCACGAAAACGTATCTGTCAGATCGGACGAGTGTTGTGTGCAAAGCTTGATGGCTCCAGCGGTCCATCCAGAAGTCTGAAAAGCAGACTGGTCATGCCCCAGCACTCGGAAGTTCCCCACGGGTGCAGCCCGTCGGAGCGAACCAAGTACACCATCACGTCATGAAAAGGTGGAGAAGCAGCGGCGGCGGCAGCGGCAAGGAGGGAGGGAGGGAGGATGACGGGATAAGCTGGCGACCTACGTACAAAGCCACAGTAGCAGCGGGCTGTTCTTGCTGCGTCCTCCGTTCAGGAGGTTGTCTAGACCCGGAGTTTCCAGCATTGGGGGGCGAGCGAGGACGGGACAGGCAGAGGGGGCAGAGAGCAGGCTCACCCCGGCAGGGTAAGCCTGCGCTCCGCCCCCGGGAGGCAGAAGCGGGAGGAAAGAGACGAGGGAGAAGGGCAACACCAATCGACTGCACGGCACAGCATGCCCCCCAGTCCATCGGCCACGCGGCCGGGACAAGAGACACGATAAGCAAGCGCGGGCGACAATATTCGGTATCGCAAAGAACGGCTGCGACAAAGTCTGGCCCTTTTTCTCCGCCGGGCCCCCGGCCGAGAGCCTATCGCGCCACGGTTGAAGCGGAGGGGGAGGAGGGGGGGCGAAGGAGGAGGAGGACGAGGGCGGAGACCCGCAGACTTAGCTACAGTGGCCGCTGGCGGCGTGGCTGCTGTGCGCGCGCGCCCGCGCGCGTACGCGCAAGGGCTGACGCGGCGGAGTGGCCGCGGACCAGCTCCAGAGCGTTCTGCCCGAGCGTCGTCGCGGTGGGTGTTCCGGGCCCTGCAACGCGTCTCGCCCAGCAGCGCGCCAAGTTCACCGCCGCGATGCGAATGGCCGAGCGCAGGACGAAGTCCGCGGGCAGGCTCGTTGGGGGGGAGGAGCGGAGAAAGAAATCCGAGAGGGGCGCCGTGGAACGAGGGATCGCGAGGCTCCGCCACGCGAGCTCCCGGACCACCCGGCAAGTTGCATAGTGTTCAATGGAATCTTCGCAGGCACACCCAAAAAGACAGCGAGAACCGCGCTGCTGGAAGCGCCGGCCCGCGCACCATCAATTGAACCATGTGCGTAAAAAATGGCTCTGACCAGCGGCGGGGAAGCCGTCCAGAGGGCGCCCATGACCTGCCGCGCACGCGGGGCGCGCCTGGCCGGCGGCAGAAAATCTAGGCGCCAACGCTGCATCCGGCGCCGCAAGAAGCGCTCCGCCTCCTCCACCGACGCCTCCTGCACGATGGAGAGGCACGTCCGTTGCCACACCTTGCGGCACTTCTTGGCGCGGGCGTCGTCGTCGTGCTCCATGGCGGCGGCCCCCTCAATGCGCTCCAGCAACCAGCGCGCCTGAGATGTACGTAAATACAAATCTACCAGCCGCCACCTGTCGCGTCACCGCACCGCCAATCAGCAAAAAGCCAAGCCGAAGACCCCACCCCAAGAACCCCGAAGAACCCCTGCCCCCCACCCCAAAACCTGGGGGACCCCCTGGGGAACCGCCGGGCAAGGCCGGGAAGCTCCGTGCGACCCCCGAGTGCCCAAGGAATCGGCGGTGAGGACGGCGGTCGTCACCTGTCCTGCCCTCCTGCACAGAAGGGTCAGGAGCCCCTGGGCAAACTCGGCGGATCAAACATGGGGCCCTGAGGGATGGGGCCCTCAAGGTGGAAAACTCATCATAAGTTGAACCTTCGCTGTCCGAGGTTCTCGTCCTCACAAAGCGGATGCGGCCGCAAGAAGCCCTCACAAGAGATCCAGCCCCGGAAACCCGCGCGAGAGATGCAAGCGGGGGCGGAACCCAGAGCACCCTGAACACAGCAGCTTCTTCAACGGCCGCGGGAAGTCACCGCGCAGCGAGCGGAGCGAAGAAACCCAAGGTAACTTGACGAACAGCATTCAGTTTCTTGCTGCGCGTTCCCACTGTATGGCCCCATCCCTCAGGGCCCCATCTTTGAACCACTGAAAATCAACAACGGGGCGAGGAACGAACGGGCCGCCGGCCACGCAGGAATTGAACGGAGAACTGTTTCTGGAGCGTCCGTGTCTCTGGCCTTCGCGTGACTCACCGTCTCGTCCTGGTGATGTGGTCACACTTGCCCTGGACCACTCGATCGCATCTTCTGTGCCCCCGGTCTGTTCGTCTGCACTGGCTGTGTCGTGAATGTAAGCCTGCTTCCAGGCACATCCTGAAGGTCTCCACGATCTCAGGGTTCCCTGGCCGTCCCGCGGCCTTCCTTCCTTTCGCCTGCCACTGTGCCCCAATTCGCTACGGATGCGTCCCGCCGTTTGTTTGACCGTTTGTTGGACCCAACTCGCCGCAGAACAGACAAGTCTCTGGCCTCTTCCTCTCCCCATTCCGCCCAGCAGTTGCCCTTGGGTTTTATCGGCAAAAGGGGAAGACAAAAGGACGAGAGGAGGAGGGGGAGGAGGAGGAGAGGAAGAGCCTCCTTATCCTCCCCCTCTTGTCACACAGACGTCGAGGATGTCGAACATAGAGGTGCGTACGTCGAACGTAGAGGAGCAATCAAGATGTTTCAGGATGTCGAACGTAGAGGTGCGATCAAGACCAGCAGCACCATAATTGGACGCATGTTTTACTTTGCAGTCGAATCAACATGTACGATATAACCACAGACCCACCAAGAAGTAGCCTGTTGCGAAAGCTTCTACATGTTTGCGAACGGGCTTTTTTTGGAAAGCTTGGTAGATCGGGGCGTGAACGCCGAACATCGAGCGGGACAAATTGCTTGAAAGTATTGTCGCTTTGGTTTTGGCCTAGAATCCCCCCCCACAGGCCTCGGTGGGACTGGAGGGGGTGGGGCAGCGAGGCAGAGCATAGGTGCAGAGAGATGTCCATAACGTTTTGGCTCAAGCTTCAAACAAGCCCTAAGTACGCCTCCCCGCGCTCGCGCCCGCGCGAGCGAGCCCCCGTCGCCGCGACTAAGCTCACGCGGTTCGCCGCGTGCATCTTGGGCACCGCTCTCGTGCGCGAGGAGGCGGTGGAGTCGTGGCGGGACTACGCTGCTTACGAGTTCCAGGCGTACTACTGGGACGAGCCGAACTTCAGCGGGCTGCCAGAGCCCGAGGTCTGCTCGGACGAGGAAGAGGACCCGTGTGCTGCTTCGTCGATGCCAGCGCAAAGATGGAGCCGAGTCTACTGCAAGCCGCGCCACGACGACAGGGACGGGGAGGCTCCAGGTGATCGACGTCGGCGACCTGGCCAAGGTGAAGG